TCGTGTGACCAGAACTGGAGCAGTTCGTAATGCTGTGGGAGCAGTTCGCTCCCCGGCGAACGCATAGCAGCGCTGATGAATCTCTAACGGAGAAAATCGCTAATCAACCATAGAGGTTTGTTTGTAGGCGGGAAGAAACGCTGCCCGGGCTCGCCATTCATTCCCGCAACCCCCGCTGCCTCCAAACTTCCTGCGCGTTCCTTCCCTGCGAGGGCGCAAACGGGCCGGTGCTCCCCCGTATTTCGCCCGCCATTTCGCCTTCGCGCGAATACATGATGCATTCATGAAGGCGCGCAGGCGCGCGGCGGCGGCGGGAGGGCGGGCGGTGGGTGGCAGCGGAAGGAATAATGCGGACAAGTTGTTGGACCGAGGAGCTGTTCACAGGTGGGGTGAGAACGGAGGTGGGCCTGCGGGTAGGTGGCGGAGAGACAAGCGTTACAAGCGAGAGGAGAGTGAGGAAAAACGGAACGCTGATAGGAAAAGTTTTATAGCATGGTTTTGTGGGCGAACAGCCCAAGGCGGAGGCGAGGGAACGGACCCAGATGGTAGAGCAAGGAGAAAAGCAAGCGGAAGCGAGGCGAAAGCGAAGGTGGAGTGAGGTGAAAGAGTGAGGCGAGACGAGCAAGACGCGGGTAGGAGCGAAGCCCGAAGTTGAGCGGCGCGAAACTTGCGGGGCCGGGGTGCGAACGGCGGGAGAGTAGACGAGGAGAGCGAGTGAAAGAGCGCAAGCAAGCAGAGCGAGCAATGGGGTAGAAAAGAGGCCGGAGCGAGCAGGCGAACAAGCGGAGAAGCACAGAAGCAAACGGGACTGTCGCGGACTGGGGAAGAGGAACGGACAGAGGAGCGGGTCGAGCACGGGCAATGGACTAGGCCAGATATAGCGGAAAGGGAACTGACGGAGAGGGGAGTTGACGATCAGAGACGGTTGAGGAGAGCGAAGTCACAAATCAGAGCGGAGCGAGGTGAAAAGAAGCCGGAATAGGTGGGCGAAGGGAGCGTCGGGACGTGACGCGGGCAGCATAAGATGTTGAAAGCCATTTTCCTGTGTAAGGGGGCGGAAAGGTTTGCAGGAGCGGAGCGTGCCCCGCCGCCGTGTTGGCGCCGGGTTGTTCCCCGGAGGAGGGAGCGTAGACGGTCCCGTCGTCTCGTGTGGAAAGGCCTGACTTCGGCGAAGGGAAAGACAGGTGCTCGAGAGAGAGCTCGAGAGCTCGAGCGCCGCGTGCGTTCCTCGCGAACCTTCCACCCGCAGTTATCATGAGCGTTAAAAGTAGCGACCGCGAAACGCAGCGCGCGGCCGGCGTCGGAAGGGGAAACGGCGGCGGCGGCCCCACCTCCCGCGTTGCGAGGCGTCCTGCTGCCTCGCGACGCGGGGTGCCGCGCCCCGCCGCTACCCGCCGCCGCCGACCCGCTCACCGCCGCGCTGTCGCTCGCAGTTGTTTGGAAGCTCGTGGGAAGTTTCCTGTATAAATTACGTCGCCGATTTCCGGTTCAGTTGTGTTTCTTTATTTTGTCCTGAGGGGGCGATCCGTTGGGTAACGGTCAGATTTTACGCTTTCCGCCGCTGGACTCGGGGATGAGTGGGTATTTCATGTTTCCGAGTGGAGAAGCGTCCCAAGTCTTGTGAATTTAGTGCATGTTATGCGCGTGGAGGGTGTTCTACCTGCTGGAATACGCAATTCAGCGCCGATCTCATGCGCTTACCCGTACGGGAAGGGCTGTAGCGCGGGAAACTATTTAATGGCATACCGTAACTTACTCGTTCATAACCGCACGTCACAAAATATGTAACTACTATCTTGCGACATTTTTTGCGACAGCTCACGAAACTTCCTTTAGTCCTTCGTGGCATAACAAGGCGATTTAAAACATTTCAAATACTGACACAAACGTCGAAAATATTAGGCACGTTGGTAAAATGTATTTCTTCTTTTGAAAGATACCTTAGGCTTTTCTTCATTGCATGTGAGTACTTTGCTCGTGGTCTCTCTGTGGACTTGTACCTACGAATAAATGAAACAAAGTTCTACAGCATGAAGGACTTTCGTGGAAGATTTTTTGCCAAGAAACATATGGTGGAAATTTTAATATAATGAAGTCACACATGTAATATGTGCCCCAGATTGGTAGGCAACTCGTCCTGCATTGGAGTTTGGTAGATACACCAAGTGTACGACATTGTCAGCACGCTACCTTCCAAAACGTTGGAGATGATTAAAACATGTAACTTGGTCTGGTCGTGAATTTACGTATCAAAAATTGATCTTTTGTCATATTTGAGTTTGTTTCGTGAGAGGGAAATATATTTTATTGAACTAAATAAATTTGCTACAGTATGAATACAATACGCATTGCAGGGTCGTTGAACCCTGATTTATTTTTAATGCATTTATCTAATTTTATTTATATATTTTCCTCTTCATATTCTTCTTCTTGCAAAAGAATATCTTCTTTTTATCAACACGTTTCTCTTAGTCTTGTCCCCTTGACTCTCCTGCAACATCCAATGCTAATTAATTTCAAGTTCAAGACGTGTACATTGAATTTTCTTCCAAACCTCCGTAGGCTTTGCTTTATCAACGATCGATCGTCGATACCTTGAGAATGTTTGAATATTCTCTAATGTTGCAGCATTAATTAAACAAATTATCTCGCAATTAACACAATGGTCATTATCACACTTTTAGAAAGTTGTATTGTAAAACTTTTGGGGTACTTTTTGTAATTCTTATAATGACTTTATGGACGTTTTTAAGAAATGCAGGGCTACTATGACTCAACGGAATACGTCTCCTCATCGTCCATGAGATACTACTGAAACAAAATACAGAGAAAAATTTGAAGAACAATTATTGCAAATGCGCTTTGGTATACAGTGTGGCAGTAATGAATACGTTCATTAGTAACTAGTGAGTGTTTGTCCACGGCGAGTAGTTTAAAACTTTAATTATCTATTCAGTTATCCTGCTAGTTTTAGACCTTCCTAAACAGTATGAATATGGAAAATCAGAATCTCTGAAACCGAATAGGTGTTATTTATGTGAATAAATCTGTTACCAGTAATCTGCTAAAGTTGTCATTACGAAATAAAGCCCGATTCCAGATATAATTCTCAGTGCCTCCTCCCAGTTTGCTTCTTTGATGTAGTCGATGAATCGCAGTAATGCAATGGCCTCCATTAGATCTTATCACGTGGTTTGAATGAGAAACAGCCCATTCACGCCCTTGATCTCGGTAGCCCGGAGGACCATGAATGGGACCACCTCGGCTCGCCCATTGCTATTCGAACGCGTTCACCGCAACTGAGCTTATCAGATTTGAGCAGCCACCAGAGCATTCCGTCTCGCAAGCAAACGAACCCGCCCCTCCCCCCTGGGCGTCTCTAATTACCTGGAACACGTTCACCCTCCCTCTAGAGAACCACCCGGTCCTAGCGCGAACCCTCGACCCGTTCTTAGCGACCTCCTGAGCCTTCCTACTTGAGTTTTCCCCACTTTAAAGTTCACGGTTTCATCGGGAGTATCCAAGTACGTGGTAGTCAGGAGCCTCGCATACCTTACTCCTAATCGGGAAGATATTCACTTTCCCAACAGAGAAAGTTGAATGGTTTCTGATTTTATACGTTATCTGCAAAGTGCAGCGCTACTATTTATGACGGAACTATTATTGATTTGAGGAATATGATGCAGTGATTCTCTGGAGTTGGTAAACTCATTTTTCCCTTCAGTTGGTTTTCCCTGAATGGCTCATTGCTAGCGTGAAGTTCACTTTGGACGCTGCCCTCGTACCCAGTTTAATGTCCCAAGATCGTTTCTCATATAGTGGGAATTCAGCTGGTTTTCCCTGAAAGACTCATTGCTAGCGCGAAGTTCACCTTGGACGCTGCTCACGTTCCGCAGTTTAATGTCCCAAGATAGTTTCCCATATAGTGGGATGTGATGTACAGTATATGTGTATGAGGAGAGCGACAGAGAGGGGATCGTGAAGTAGAGAGAGAGGCTGAGACGAAGAGAGTACAAGATGAATCCTACTCCGTGCCCCGTTGTCTACGATAGAGCACGGCATCCGCTTGGAATTGACTGGAGGAAGTTAAAGTACTCTCACTATCACTTATAAACAGTAGCCGATCTCTGTTCTGCCGTGCCATTTTGCTATTCTCTAAACAATGACACTATTTGGGTCTACACATATGCCAAGCCGGTCAACAAAACGACGGGAACAATATGCAAGTGTTGTTTGCGTCATCAGGCCGATATAAAGCAAATAACACCGTGCTGAGTAATCGAGATCGCTAAGCCTGAAGAGCCGTGGCTGCCTCGGAAGCTTCGAATTTTCGAATCCCGCCCCGCGCATGGATGTTTGTGTGTGTTCATGCTCTCTTTGTGAGTTCCCCTTACATTTACTCCGACGTTGAAAGCCACAGTGGTTGTTGTGCGACGAAGCAGGTAAAGACCTTAAATAAATAAATTTACAAAAGTAACTAACGGACGCCGTTGTAGTATGTTAACCGAGGCGATATGCAAAGTTTTTAACCAGCGAAGACTTGTATGTGTTATCGGTTCTGTAAAGTTCAATACTTTTAGTAATAATACATAATTCATAAAACTGTTAATAAGAAGTAAATTCGTAATAGTAAGTTAATAGTAGGTTGAATTCGTAATAGGGAATTCATAAAAATAAGAAATAACTTTACTTTTAATAACAGTAATCCACAGTTTAATCCAAAATATTTTGCTAGAATTAATTTGTTTTGATTGTTCTTAACACCCACCCGCCGTTAACAGTCGAAAGCACAATGTTACAATACAACAATTGACTGCACTTTTACCACTCTGCGCATACGACAACTCGAAATCGAACTCGAAATGATAACGGAACGTGCTAATCTGCAGGATTTCGCGGGCGACATCGCATGCTAATCGGCCACCGACATCGACTTTGTACCCAATTCTGGAGGCCGAGTGTTTGCTAACTCTATATATTCCCATGATGCAATATTAAGTTGGTGGCATTATTCTGTGATATATATGTGAATGTATGTGATATATATATATATATATATATATATATATATATATATATATATATATCATATAATATGTATGTATTTATGCGTGTATGTAGGTGTGTAATTTGTATAACATGTAAGTGTATTTATCTACATGTTGGAAGATAAGTATTTTTAGTTGTGGTGCATGTATGTAAATACTATCTGCATGTGCTATGTAATGACGAAGATAATTTGTTTTTATATTGAGTTTTTATGTATTGTTTTTATTTGCAATTGTAATAGTACTGTTAAGAACTAATAGAACTAATAATTGTAATAGTCATGTTTCTGTATTCTCATACCGGACATCATCTGACCAATTGTAGAATAAAGCTTTTATCAATGAATGGTTTCGAGAGCTCCATCAATCTCGTAAGTCGGGATCTACCAGCTCTCAAATGCTAACGAGTGTATTCAGTGGTATCTAAACATACATTAATTTCCTATTAGACGTTTTTTTCTCAGTGGCTGAACCCAGTGTACATTATTTAGTTGCCGAATGGACAATTTTCATTAGCCACCCTTTGTTGGATTCGATGTAGTTTGTGAACATGCTTTGTCTGCAGGTCACAAAGAACACATTTCACTCCTCATTGAATTTCCATTTACCGTTCTCCAAATACTAAATATTTCCAATCCTGGTACTTCAGATCAGAAAATGTTTGTTTCAGAATTTAAAAAAAAACATTTTTTACGGAAAATAATGGGAAATTACGTCTCTGACGCCTAAAACTGGCAGATTAGCTTCCAAATTTCCTTGAGTTACTCAACTGCGCATAATATTCTCGAAAGAGCAAAAGCCGACACCTGAAATATGAAACGTATATTAATTAATTTTACCACCACATTAAATACCATGCTATCACCACATTAAATACAATTGTGTTCACTATTGCATTATTCCCCGTGAATCACGTAGCCTAAGGTTGGTGTTAATTGCATGGGAACATTTTACTTTTTCGGATTTTCTCGACAATATTTGTCTTTTTACAATTTTTAGCGATAGTTGATTGTGTCTTTATAAAACAATGCAGAGTTTTAAATGTTATAATACTATACATTGAATGGAAGAGCACTTACAGCATTATGATGATTTGTTACACTTCAACCAATTTTCATTCTTGTCATTTTTCATTCTTCCATGTTTCATAGATGTCTAAAGTCCTCCATAAAAACGTAATATTCAATGAAACCAATAACATTCAAACATTTCACAAAAGATAATGGCCATTGAAACATGTCTATAAAAAACGATGACAATTGTCTTCCTTCTGTCGTATTGAGTGTTCTCTCAAGATACTAGGTTGAAATGATGGCGCGTACAGGTCATCGATCGGAACTGTTGCAAACTGCAGTGTAACACCCACGGTTCAGCTTATCAGTGCTCGTGGCCCTGAATC